CATTGTTGGTTACTGTGATCTTCTAGTACATTGTTGGTTACTGTGATCATCTCCAGTACATTGTTGGTTACTGTGATCTTCTACAGTACATTGTTGGTTACTGTGATCTTCTACAGTACATTGCTGGTTACTGTGATCTTCTACAGTACATTGCTGGTTACTGTGATCTTCTACAGTACATTGTTGGTTACTGTGATCTTCTACAGTACATTGTTGGTTAATGTGTGTGATATGCTACAGTATATTGTTGGTTACTGTGATATGCTACAGTATATTGTTGATAGCTGAAGATATATGTAGTTCTGAACTGAACTTTTTTGTTTCCTTCAGGTATTTGACAAGAGACACTATAAATAAATCCACCTGTCTGCATATAAGGCTTTTTGTTTGTGTAATTTCTGCATGCTGGTTTGTTCAGGTGTGTGTCAAATAGCTGCTGTATCCTTGATTTTCCGTGTGTGTGTTTCTGTGTGTGTTTCAGCCTTCAGGGTCCACCTGGCCATAAGCCTTGCTGCTGGGGAGGGATTTATCGAACCACGGAGGAATTTCTTTGGCAGGTGTAAAGGTCACTGAAGTCCGCAGCATCGCCTTACAGCAAGAGAAACGAGAGACAGGCAGGGAGACAGACAAGCAGACAGTTACGCAATGAAGCTGACAGAGGAAGAAGATAGAAAGCAGAAGGAAATGGTCAGCAAATCAGACGAGCAAAGCAGACGCATAGGGATGAGGATGAATATTCAATCTGACGGGGTCAAAAAGATATTTAGACAGGGACATAAGACGGTGCAGAATTACAGGTGTTCCTAACAGGCGGGTGGACGGGGATGTGAAATCTGATGAGCATGCAAGCAGAAGGAAGGAAGACAGCAGCAGGGCAAGGAAGTTAGATAAGAAATCAGAAGTGGACTGAGGGACAGAGCAGCCAGGAACAACAACAAATGAAGTAAGGAATAGCGCTGGGGAAACTTTTGAATATGCTTTTAGGTAACATTTCTGGCCCACTCCTATTATCTTCTATATTTAAAAACATCCATTCTTGAGTCACAAAGCCAACGTTTGGCAATAAGTTGCACCTACATGAGCCAAAATCACACTGCAAATATCAAATGACAAAACATTATTGTTGGAAAATGTCTACTACTTTGTGATATTATTGCGTGAATTACAAGCATACTCTCGTTGGATGCATATTTTGGGTTTTTGAAAATAGATCTCTACATGTCTCTTTTACAATGGAGCAAATTTGCGAAAGACTGAAATATATAAAGCGTTTGTGTTCAGATCTGATCTTGGATCATATTTGTTAACGGTCTAACCTGCAAACATACATTCATTTTACTGATCAGTTGAACAGGTTACGTCCTGATTCCTGAGTCCTAAATGAAGTTATGTCCAAGAACAACTTTTGTGAGGTCACACAACCTTGACAACCAAATTCAAAAGTGCAAGTTCAATTTGTGCCATTTTCATTCCAAGATAAATGATCTAAAAACATGAAATGAGACAGAACGGAGGTCACAGTGACCTTTAACTGCCACATTCTATTTACCTCGAGTCAAGAAAGACATTTATGCCACATTTTGAAAATTCCCTTCAAACGTTTCTGAGAAATTAAATGGGACCGAAGTAGCTTAAGCACAGACAGATGAACCAACAATCATTATGCCTCTGTCAACTGCATAGAAATGAAATATTTCTTGCCACAGGAAATGTTCAATTGCTAAATAGCTTATAACCTCCACAGTTCCTGTTTTAAAAAATCGAATTTATCGGTTGTATTAGCTATAAGTACATTTTCGAAAAATAGGGTATGATTTGATCTCTTTTTAGTAAATCTGTGACTTCAAACACATTAGGTTTTTTTTCTTCTCTTACTCTTTGTCATGGTTTTTTGAGCTGGCCATGACCAATCTCACAGGGGACTGCTAAAATAAAACAGATTTCCCCAAAATGTAGGCTGCCCTTAAGCAAAAACACAAGTTTCCTCCATGACTGTTCATACAGTACCAAGAATGTCCAATGGGGACAGAGCTCGGATAGGGCTGTGACATACATTAAAACACTTCATACGATGAGCTCAATTCATATTTAATCTTCAATTTATTAAACTGTCTTTTCATTAAGTGCCAGAATTAGAATTACCACTCTAACTCTGAAGCCTTTTTGACAGTCCCATGCGGCAAACTGTAGGGCTTTCTGATATCCTATTCCCCCACACAGTGCAAAATGTAATAGCACAAAAATGGAATTGCTTTTTTGGTGCAACGACTACACCTATGATGGCTCTTTTGAAAGAAATCCACTCTTAAATATCACCTTGAATCTCCTGCTCAGTGCCATTATCCCCTTTTCCCCCACTTTTATCTTCAATAAAATAAATTTGCTCTTGTATTTGTAACACCCTCTATTCTTTACAGAGGATACAGCCTGTTGTGTTGCCTCTTCATTTACTTGCTCTCCTCTTCCCCTAAACTCCACATCTGCTCCTTTCCCTTCATCACCTCTACCTCTCTCTCCTCCTTCTCCCATGGTCAACACCTCCTCCTCCTCCTTTCCTTCCTTCCCTGTCAAAATCTCTCCTCTCTGTCTCTCTCCCTCTTTCCTCAGTCCCATCCTCTGAGGTCATGCTGTATCAGATCGATCAGCAGGTCATTGATCTTCCAATATCCTGGTGTAGGCGTTCCTCTCATTTCAGAAAAGACCATTAGCCAATCATTAATCTAGATCATTAACCTATCATTAATCTGGGTTGCTATTTAAACTGAGGCTGCTGATTGGGTCAATGGTGAACTCTGACCTGTAGGTTACCACAGCAACATGAGGCACATCGGTTAAACCTGCAGCAGCTGTTAATGCTTTAATTGGGTGTCTTTCGGTATGATTAAATACAAAAATCAGATTAAGAGCATCTGGCTGTTTTTATGTTTAAGTCTCCAGCCAATTAAGATAAAACCAAACAGGATATATCTATAATAAAAATCTCAGGTATCCTCCGATACAACATTTAATAAAGAGGTGCCACCATTTTTCAGTGCCACTCTGTTGATACCAAAATGTAAAATAATACATATTCAACCTTTGCGATTTCTCTGGCCCTGTGACAACCGAGCAGCAACAGCTCAGAAAACAAAAACTGCAGTTTATCAAATGGCCGCTTGAGACTGGCTCCACAAGAGAGCAATCTCCCAATATCCCCATGTTGAAATGACTAACTTCACAGAAGGAATACACTTGTGTACAGCCTGGTACAACATGGTGTCGGTCTCTATTGCTAATCTCCCTAAAGATGCTTTGAATACTGGTTCGTGCTTTGTGATATGTCAGGAATAACTGTAATATAATGAAAGGACACAATGTTGGTATTAAGAAGGAAAGGACTGTTGTGACCAGTGTGAGTGCAATGTTTGGGATTATTAGCAAGGCTCTTGCATAGCAACAAGAGAATCAGTGATCAATGTTCCCATTTTTTTGTTGTTACATGTTTGGCTTATGCTTGGAAGATGAGCTTAATAATGCCTTTAAATCCTGTCACCTATGCGGTGGTGATTCATACGACACTATACTGTGACATGTGTTAATAATAAATACAGTGGGCTGAGTGGACATTTTTGGCATATGGATGATATGAACATCTTCACAGCTTATTGGCTGATTATTATTGTATCATTATGCGTTCATTAAACCCATACTGTATGTTCACCTGGGAACAGCATGTGCTCGACAAATTGGTGAAAAGTTTGCGATATATTATATTACTGAAAGTCTTGTAAGACTTTTATGCCTTTTTAAGACTTTAACATAAGTGTTGATTCATCTCTTTGGTAGCACTATCTCACATTAGTCTACATTGTGAGGCATTCAAGTGACACCCACACATAATGCCATTAGCAAACACCTTGCACATATGCACCCACGACAGGTTGAAAAATATGACGATAAATCTGAATTGTCGCCTTTTTGACACGTTCACAAATGCTGTTATTTATTGCAGGGTTGTTGTTAAGATAAATGTATTATGGCATGTCAAGTTTGAGACCTTCAGTAAGAGTGCATTCTGCCAGATTTACAGTATGCCTGCCATACAGTGGAGACAACAGAGGATTTGATTTTCAGTTGACCTAATGAATCAGATCTGCATTCAGCCCCCCTCCACTATATACAATGACTTTCATTTGTCTTTACTTATCTATCCATCTATCTCATTTGTTTTGTCTTGTGTTATGCAACTTGTTCATTCATAACCTCTCCCCCTGACTCTGTTGGAGGGGATGTCGGTAGGGTGGGGATAAAGTGAGGACGGGGTTAAATCTCATTGGAACGTGCGCAGAACACCGCGCTCTCGTGCTGGAGTTCTCGCCGGCACAAGTGTCTGTACAGAGGTTGACTCGAGCCAAGCAGCGCGTGCGTTCTGGAAAGCTTGTACCCGGGTGTTTAACAAGGGGGAAAACAAAACATTTGTTTTACTGTTGAGTGCCGGGATGGAGTAGTGCTGTCACGGCTCGTGCTCTCTGGATGATAAGGGGATAATTTTCCATCGAAGCCATCAGATGTTTCCACTGGTGGATTTCACTGTTTTGGAATGTGTTTGATGCGCATTGACCTTTTTTTCTCGACATTTCCTCCTCTGGGCTTGCCTCCACACTCTGTTTCACATTTTCCCTGGAACATGTGGAATATTTTACCATTTTATTCCACGACCTGTTCAGTCACAAAAAGGCTTGAATGATGGAAATCTTTTGAGATGAAAAACAGCACTTTTGGGGATCGTGTTTTGCTTGTGCGCGGCTCGTGCCTGGTCTCGCGCCTCAGTAGCCTGTTGTCCGTGTCCGTGGAGAAACGCGCAACTTTGCCGAGAGCTGGAGCTGGATTTGGGGCTGCAGCTGGTCTGAGCGGCGCGCCAGGGCCACACGCAAGGGACACACGGAGCGGCCCCGGTGTTCCGCAGTTGTGTGTTTGGACGGGGCATCCGGTGCAGCTGTGGAGCGTGGATGATGAAGACGGTGGTGATGATGATGACGGTGATGAATGGCCCGGCAGCTCGAACAGGCACTGGGGTCCCGCCGTCATTATTTTTACTGCTGTGCGCTCTAGTCTTTCTCCCGTCGTGCGTTCACTCGCACCCGCAGCCGTGCCAGGTGCTGAAACGGATCGGACACACGGTTCGAATCGGGGCTCTGCACGTGCAGCCCCGCTTGCTCTCCACCACAACTACCGGTAGCTCTAAAGACTGGGACGCGGATAGAGGCTGGATTGGAAGTGAGGAGTTGGAAAAGCAGGTAAAAACAAGTTCTGGTGCACCTGGATACGGAAGCCTCAGGACTAGAGGCACCGTTAATGCCCAGAGGGGGGCCAGCAGGAGTAAGAGCCAGGCAAGGCAGCGTGAGGAGAACACCTCGAGGGAAAACCGCGTGTTCGCACCCCGAGACTCGGTCCTGCTCGCGGTGGAGGCTCTCAACCGGGCCGGATTGCTGCCATACAATTTATCCATGGAGGTCGTCATGGCCGTTGGGTCCGGTTTGGGGGAGCTTCCCGCGTTCTCCTCCTCCTCTGCGGGCAGCCCCGAGGGCGACGACCCGCTGTCTTTCTTGGAGAGCGTTTGCCACACCGTCATCGTGCAGGGGGTTTCCGCCATGGTCTCCTTTCCACGGAACCTGGACGAGTTCGTAAAGTTGGAATTCATCTCGCTCGCGCTCCAGGTGCCAGTAGTCAGCGTTGTGCAGAAGGAGTTTACGCGCCAAAGTGAGGTAAAAGAAAAAAAAAGTTACTCAATTACATCTGCACTGCACTGTTGAATAATGAACTTTGACATACAGGTGCAGTGGATGTAGAAACTGTTATATGAAGGAAAACTACTGTGACAACAAGTCAGGCATGTCCAATAATCTATGAAAATACAACTGTTTTATATATAAATAAATAGGTTCTTCACAGTTTTTGACATCATTAACATTTGTTTTGGTGGATTTACAAGGCAAGGGGCCACCAGTAGCCTGCCTATTAGACAGAGTCTGAAAGGGAAACTCTTACTCACACTGTTTCATCTTTTTATTTTCTCCTCCTCCTACTGTGAACTAGTCATTCTTTCAGATGAAGGGCACCACATTTTCCTTTCTTTGCCTTGCTTGTTCAGTACTCCATTCTTGGTAAATGGCCCAATTAAGCTAAATTGGCAACACAATTTGGGACACAAGCTGATTTTCCTTTTCACATATGACATCAGCTTATGGAGTCTGAGAAAGGCTGCAGGAAAAAACCTTCAAACCGGAACACAATTAGGAGGCATTTAGGCTGTGTCCATGGTGCAGACAAGGAGGATATGAGTGCTTTGTGTATTCTGTTATAGACAAGGTTTGCAGTGAAAAAACAAGATTGATATACTGTAGATATGCACACCAGGCAGGACATGCATGCTCTGAGGTTCTTTTGTCCAATCTAAAGCTTTGTTGCTATTCAGCCTTCCATGGGCAGAGGTTCAACAACATGAGAGAGAGAGAGAGAACACATTTTAAATTGCAACTCTAACCTCAAGCTGACCTGACATCTCCAGTATTGATCTGACTTATTTCCTTTCAACAAGAAACTTTTAATTGCCCGTTCTCAATCCATAAGTTATGATCAGAAGCTTATATCATAATCATACTTTGTTAACCTGCTAGCGATGAGCTGCACAATCAATGTAAGGTCAAAAATCCGATTGGATACTGGCCTACTGTTATGTCTGTATAGGAAAAAAATATGTTTAGAACCACCCTTAAGAAATAGAAAATTGGATAATAACACTCTTGTTATTTGGTGTATTCCAATGAATGCGCACTGATAAGTGCACAGGGAGTCAACTATTCAGACAATTCAAAGGTGTCTCACTGGTTTTAAAATAAGGTGAACATTGTTCCTCCATAGTGTTCTCTAAATGACTCCACTAGCTTTTCTACACTACAGTACTGTACTGTATGTATAGCCCTTTAACTCAGAACTCTTTTTTTAAACAAATGGCCAATAGATTGTACTATTATTGTTTCAATCAAAAGCAATACTTTTTTATAAGTATATATTATTGCCACTTTAACCCTAACCCTAACTCTCTACTTAGTCTGTTGTGAAAGCTCTCGTCTGCACCTTCAAACCCTGACCCAAACCCCTTGGAAATTTTAAAAGCCATGAATCATTGGAAATATGATGTTGGCCATAAGATCCATTAAGGCAGCCTCAAACAAAAAGTTGTTGTCATTGTCTAAGTATCCATGTTCCAATATCATATTGATATTGTGGTATGATATTTTCTAAGCACTTTAGATTTCTGATCTCTTTGTATGGCTTTAATAAGGTGGCACTAACATGGCAGTAATCGTATATTAAAGAGTAGAGGTGAGTGCATGTGTCCGTGTTGTTGACTTCCACGCACAACCTTCCTGGCAGGGGCGAATAGCATCATTGTTTATTTTTTTTATGCAATTGAAACACAAACACACACACACACATACACACCCACCCACACACATCCAAACCATTAGTTAGACTGAAGGGTTCTGGGACACTTGCCACCTACTGAGCTTTAGAAACGTGTGTGTGTGTGTGTGTGTGTGTGTGTGTGTGTGTGTGTGTGTGTGTGTGTGTGTGTGTGTGTGTGTGTGTGTGTGTGTGTGTGTGTGTGTGTGTGTGTGTGTGTGTGTGTGTGTGTTTAGGCTAGCCTAAAATCTAATTTCCCGCTCCGTGCACAAGGAAGCATTTGCTTTAAGCAGTTAGTAGGTGTTAAAGTCCAAACCGGTTCCACAAAGTTCAATAACAGGTATTCGCTGTAACAGACCAACCAACAGACAAATATTCATTGGTTGATGGATGGATAGATGATTTGGTGGTTGGATGGATGGACGGATAGGCAAAAACATTTACTCTGCAATTGACAGGCAAACAAACAGATTGTGTCGAACTCATGTGTGACTATTTGAGAGATGGCTTAACTCCCTCCTGAATTAATCTAGTTTTCCTAGCAAATCCCAATTGATGGCTAACTGCAATTTCTCCGAAGCAGAGTTTCCAAGTTGTGAAAACTTTCTAAATGTGTTTAGAGGATTCCATTCTGACCTTTGCCTTATGCCACAAAAGTTTATACAATAAGATGGTAAGGTTGAACATGTTAACTGTCTTGTATTATCAAAATAATGTGAAGGGGTTAAAGTGGAAATTAAGTCAGAGGTCCATTTATTGTGTTGCAGACTTATACTGAAATTAGCATGCTAAATTAATAACCCTATCCCATACCATCTTGTAATACATGTTGTTCCTCGAGAGGCGAGAGTGACTCATTGTTGCGTAATAGGGCGAAAAAGTACAGTGGCCCCAAACGATTGTCAATAATAACTCCCATGGCAGTTTGTTTAATAGATTAAATCCAACATGGCAGGAACAAGACAACAACTCACACCCTTGCCAGGTCCTCCCCGCCTCCAAGAGACTACTTCTCTGCGACAAGAACATGTGGCAGTTCCGTGAGATAGACCCCTAGTAAGCAGATTTGAATTCTTGAATGATTCAGCCGGAGCAAAACCCAGCAACGTATAGTTCTGATCCAGGGTTACTGCACCTCTGACTCCCCACTGCATCAGCAATCCTCCTGTTGCTTCTGTTACACTTGTTAGGCCCAGCACACAACCAGCCCTCTGTGGCCTAGCGCTTGTTTGTGCTAGCTGAATTTGAGTTGCTGAAGACCACTGAGTGTGTCATGTCCTGCCTGAACAGATATCAGATGTTGATCAGTTGTTTGAAAGACTGCCCCTAATTTATTTTGAGCATGTGGCTACTACACATTCATCCTTTAAACAGTATTCAATGATGAACAGCATAATATAATCACCCAGCAAGCAACCTGTTTTACTGTATACGCCCAATTGTGTTATGTAAGCGTTGAGACGAAGAGGCTGCATGAATATATGGAAATATGCTTCTGAACCAAAAAATGTATGTGAACTCCGAGCAAAGGGATCAGGTGGGTTGCAACGGCAGAGAGGCTTTGGGAGCTGCAAAGGGTTGAGAATTTAGAATATAATAGACCAGTGGTTGAGAAACTCCAGAGGAGGGACCAGTTGTCTGTGATAGGAGGACCTACTTTTAAAATGGATATCTAGAACATGTTGAACCGCTGGAGCTTTTGTGAAATGTGGATGCAGCATCTTTACTGAGAGTTTAGGGCACATATGCAAATATTGGTTTCTATTTAATCCAATTATGTACACATACGCTCTTTGACATAATGAGAATTTCTGCAGCGCATTTTATATTTAATGCAAAGGGCATCCTTACATTTAATCTGATTTACAAAAATGTTGCATTAACCCTCCTTTGGTGGACTTAATTTAGGGTTCATGTTTGTGGTGCATTTCTGGACATCATACGTGTACAGCTGTAATTAACAACTGCTTAAGTGTAGCTAATGAGGTATAGACTGTTGAAGAGGACAGAAGGAAGCCAATTTCTTTACAATGTGAACAGACATGAGTCGACAAAGTGGCTTTAGAACATCCTAATCACAGTTACTAACGCTCTCTCACAATTGGGTCATCGTGGACGCCAATTAACACAATTTGTCAACTATCACAATTAGCACATTTGTGAGATCCTAGATAATTCTACTTGGCATGCAGCAACTTACCATGACCCACCTTTGTAATGTTTTCAATAATGGCTTGAGTAAAATAACTATTTGATGAGACTTTTGTCCGAGGGTGTCTATATGTGTCAGAGATAATTTGTGGAAATTCTTTACTGAGAAACTATTTTTTTTAAAAACACTGTAAGCCTGGAATGTATTTTTCAATTAGATCCTGGTACGTTCATTTGTAGATTACACTGATTAGGATAATGGAGTAATTATGTCCTCAGAAATCTATCCAGGCATAGCAGATGAATGATAGGGCTTCACTGACTATGGGGAGAATTAGTGAAGTTTTCTCATTGTCCCTTTATAAATATGGCAGCGACATAAAGAGGGCATTAGGATGAAAGGCTGTAACTAGAGTATGGGTAAAGGTCTACAAGTGGTTCAGGGTTGGGGCCGAAGGGGGTTGTTGATGTAAAAGCAACAATACTGAGTTGCCAACAATGTAAAGATTTTGCAACATATGCCAGAACTTGATTATTACAGCGTTCTTTAAGTCTATTAAAGACAACTTGCAATCTTGTCAAACAAAACAAAAACAGAAACACAATTTAATTAGTTTCACACTTTCCCCACAATGAATCATCTAATCAGGGACTGATCAATACCAACACATTATTAGTTTATTCGATTTGTCCACTGGCCCTTGATTCTCCCAGTCCCTACACTTTTACCTCAAAGCAAGCCTTGCAAGTTTCCTCACATTAAAACAAATCCAAGCAAATGTGTTTAAGGTGTGGAAGTCTTAGGGAAAAAAAGAGATTTATGCAGGAAGAAGAGTGATGAAATAGAGCACAGTGACAACAAAGCTGGGATTTCCCAGTGCTTCGAAAGCAGCCGTTGTATTTATTTAAGAGAGCAGACTGCCGCACTTTGTGGCAAATCTCTTTCCTGTTTATTTACATGAGGAACAAAGAGGGGGTTACAGATTGTGATCACAGTGCAGAAGTGCTACAGCTGAGAATAAATCCTCCAATCCTCTTGGGGGATGAGAGGAGGTGAGTGGCTGATGCCCTGCGGGGTGCATTACCATTTCTTTCCCAGAAACAGGACTTCTAAAACTGAAATTAAACACGCACAATTGTTTTTGTT